CAGCTTCGCAGATCGCAGCCCCACAGGGATGGCGAGGTCTAGTGTAGGTCCGCGCGGGACGTCACCCCGCTGGACCCCTCAGCAGCCCTCGAAAGTGGCGACAGCTTCGCAGATTGCAGCCCCCCAGGGGTGGCGAGATCAACATTTAGCTCCGCGTGGGGCGTCACTCTGCTGGACCCCCGAGCAGACCTCGAAAGGTGGCGGCAGCTTCGCAGATCGAAGCCCACCAACGATGGCGAGGTCTAATCTAGGTCCGCGTGAGGCGTCACTCCCCCCCCCCCCCTCCAGCAGCCCTCGAAAGTAGCGACAGATTAGCAGACCACAGCCCCCCAGGGATGGCGAGGTCGAATTTGGGTCCGCGCGGGGCGTCACTCCTCTGGACCTCCAGCATACCTCGAAAGTGGCGACAGTTGAGCAGATCGTAGCCCACCAAAGATGGAGAGGTCGAATTTAGGTCCGCGCGGGACGTCACTCTGCTGGACACCCAGCAGCCCTCGAAAGTGGCGACAGCTTCGCAGATCGCAGCCCCACAAGGATGGCGAGGTCTAGTGTAGGTCCGCGCGGGACGTCACCCCGCTGGACCCCTCAGCAGCCCTCGAAAGGTGGCGGCAGCTTCGCAGATCGCACCCCCCCCCCCAGTGATGGCGAGGTCAAAATTTAGCTCCGCGTGGGGCGTCACTCTGCTGGGCCCCCGAGCAGACCTCGAAAGGTGGCGGCAGCTTCGCAGATCGAAGCCCACCAACGATGGCGAGGTCTACTCTAGGTTCCGCGTGGGGCGTCACTCCGCTGGCCCCGCCCCCCCCCCCAGCAGCCCTCTAAAGTGGCGACGGACTACAGCACAGCCCCCCCCCCAGGGGTGCGAGGTCGAATGGAGGTCCGCGTGGGGCGTCACTCCTCTGGACCCCCAGCAATACCTCGAAAGTGGCGACAGTTGAGCAGATCGTAGCCCACCAAAGATGGAGAGGTCGAATTTAGGTCCGCGCGGGACGTCACTCTGCTGGACACCCAGCAGCCCTCGAAAGTGGCGACAGTTGAGCAGATCGCAGCCCCACAGGGATGGCGAGGTCTAGTGTAGGTCCGCGCGGGACGTCACCCCGCTGGACCCCTCAGCAGCCCTCGAAAGGTGGCGACAGCTTCGCAGATCGCAGCCCCCCAGGGATGGCGAGATCAAAATTTAGCTCCGCGTGGGGCGTCACTCTGCTGGACCCCCGAGCAGACCTCGAAAGGTGGCGGCAGCTTCGCAGATCGAAGCCCACCAACGATGGCGAGGTCTAATCTAGGTCCGCGTGAGGCGTCACTCCGCTAGACCCCCCCAACAGCCCTCGAAAGTAGCGACAGATTAGCAGACCACAGCCCCCCAGGGATGGCGAGGTCGAATTTAGGTCCGCGTGGGGCGTCACTCCTCTGGACCCCCCAGCATACCTCGAAAGTGGCGAATGTTGAGCAGATCGTAGCCAACCAAAGATGGAGAGGTCGAATTTAGGTCCGCGCGGGACGTCACTCTGCTGGACCCCAAGCAGACCTCGAAAGTGGCGACAGTTTAGCAGATCGCAGCCCCACAAGGATGGCGAGGTCAAATCTAGGTCCACGTGGGGCGTCACTCCACTGGACCCCCAGCAGCCCTCGAAAGTGGCGACAGTTTAGCAGATCGCAGCGAATTCTTATTTACGTCCACGTGGGGCGTCACTCCGCTGGACACCACAGCAGCTCTCGAAAGTGGCGACAGTTTAGCAGATCGTAGCCCCAAAAAAATGGAGAGGCCTCATGTAGGTCCGCGTGGGGCGTCACCCCGCTGGACCCCCAGCAGCCCTAGAAAGTGGCGACAGCTTCGCAGATGGCAGCTCCCCAGGGATGGCGAGGTCTAGTGTAGGTCCGCGTGGGGCGTCACTGCGCTGGACCCCCAGCAACCCTCGAAAGTGGCGACAGTTTCGCAGATCGCAGCCCCCCCGGGGATGGCGAGGTCGAATTTAGCTCCGCGTGGGGCGTCACTCTGCTGACCCCCCCGTAGCCCTCGAAAGTAGCAACAGTTTCGCAGATTGCAGCCCCCCCGGGGATGGCGAGGTCGAATTTAGCTCCGCGTGGGGCGTCACTCTGCTGACCCCCCCGTAGCCTTCGAAAGTAGCAACAGTTTCGCAGATCGCAGCCCCCCAGGGATGGTGGGGTAGGACTCAGGCTGGCAGACAGGAGAGAGCCAGGTAAAAGAAGGTTGCGACCGCAGCGCTCGACTCAAAACGAGAACCCAACGCAGAAGGGTTGGGAAAATACAGTCGTCGTGCTGCCATAAGAAGTGCCGACTAAAGAACGAAAGGGGCTGCGCTGGCCACGGCGAGCCTCGGCCACGAGTGGGTCCCCTACCGATCAATGCACCGACCTTGCAGACGTGCTGCAGCAGATTGTTGCGTGGATTTCTGGCCATGCAAAACCCCGAAACGGCAAGTGAAAAACCACGTGAATTTCGCGTGGATGTTTGTTCAGTCTTCATTCCTGGCCAAAACGAATCCGCACGAGATTCACCTCGAAATCCGACTCGAAATCCTCAGGGACACTCCGGGCCCACATCTACGGAACCGGCCCGACAGCCGGAGCCCCTCCCAAGCCCAGAGTGTTGCCCTCACCTGCGCGCCCCGACCGGATCAGTGACGCGCCGACGTGGGGAGCCCATCCGCACGCTGCTGCTGCAGAAGCACCCGGCCTCCGGCCAGATACGAAGGGGTGCCACGCCACCGAGCTGCAAGCGGCAAACTGTCACCGATGCTCTCCCTGGCTTCTGAGGGCTCAAAAATACGGAGACCGCCACTCCCTGGACCTCGCCCGGAGGGGCGAATCCAGCCGTGGCGACGAGGGTCTGCCAGGAGGCCCAGACAGACTAGAACAAGGAAACGGTAGCGGTATCCTCCTCTGATGACTACCTACCAGACCACCCCAACCCAACCCGAAGACCCGAATTTCGGGTTGGGGGGGGTACGGGCTTCATGTGTTTTTTTGTTGGCCATGTTCCCCCCCCCCCCCAAACTGGAAATGGAGTGCAAATTGAGGCCTTCGGGTTGGGTTGGGGTGGTTTGGTGGGTGGTTTCCTGATGGGACGCAGAGGAAAATAGTAGTATCAGGCGCTGCTCATGGAGGCGCACGTCTGACACGAACATGTCGTACACCAGTCTTACAATAGATCGTTTCCCGAGCGGCATGGCCAGAGAGCGCCCGCCACGGGGCTTGCCCTATGAGACTTCTAAGCGTGCGCGTCGCCCCCGAGGGGCCGAAGCGGGCACGGCGTAGAAAGCACACTCGGGTGGTGCCGATCTGCCCCCCTCCCTCCCGCACAGCTGGCAGCACCCGAGCCTGCACTCCGGCGGCCGCCGCCACGGCGCCAGCAGCGGCGCGCCTGCGGCGGCGCAGGGCTGGCCCGCCGCCGCTCCCTGCGGCAGCTGCTCGCCGGGCGCGCTCGCGGCCTCGTCGGCCGGGCCGAGCGCCGCCGACGGGCACAGCGTGCCCGCCGACGAAGCCTGCAGCGGGCTGCCTGGCAGCGGCGGGCGCCCTCGGAACGACTCGCCGCAGCCCAGCTCGAGCGGCCCGCACGGCGCGCCGCCGACGGCGCAGCCCTCGGCGCCCGCGCAGCCCTGCAGGCGCTGTGCACAGCCGCGCTCGCGGAGCGGCTCGCCGTGGCCCGGCTCGAGCGGCTCGAACGGTCGGCAGCCGCCCGCGCCACCCTCGACGCCTGGCAGCGGCAGACGGCGTTCGATGGACGACTCGCCGTGCCCCGACTCGAACGACTCGAACGGATGGTAGCCGCCGGCGCAACCCTCGACGCCTGCGCATCCCTCCAGCGGCTCAGGACCGCAGTGGAAGTTGAGCTGTTGAGGAAGCGCTTGGGCCACGGAGGGGCTGCCGGCTCGCCACTGAGGCGCCTGCAGAGCCTGGGCGATCTCCCGCTGGCCCTCCTTCATTGAGGGCTCAACGACTTCTGCCGCCCCTGGACTCGCGCTGGAGCGGCCACGGTCGGCTTCAGCCTCCCCTGCAGACCTCTGGATTCGCCTGGAACTGCCTGGATCTGCCCAGATGCACCCCAACAGATCTGCACCTGCCTCGGGCAATCGTGTTTTCGACAACACGCAAGAGTGACCCTGGGTAAGAGTGACCTTTGGTGCGCGGCTTTTGGGGGGCCGCGGGGGGACCAAACACGAGCGCGCAAGACGCTACTACCGCATCGCGTTCGGCGATCGGGGGACCCCGTTGGGCCCGCACCGAGGATCACTCCGGCGAAAGGTCACTCTTACGTCTAGTCGATGTTTGATCCCCATGAGACGATTGGCGAAAAGTCGTCAAGCCCTGAAGGGCTCCTGCAGCGCCGCCACGCCGTTGATGAGGACCCCGACCGCCTCCGCGATGGCCGGCTGCAGCCGAGACCCACGCAGTTCCTGCAGCGCCGCGTGCTCCTCGCCGACCCAGGCGGCCGCGGGCGACCCCTCCGATGCCTGGAGCACCTCGAGAAGCAAACAACTGCACAAACCTTTCGACGACGTGAACACCACCCCGGCAGGTCAGCTTTCTGAAAACTGGCTGGGGGTCAGAATCTGGAGGACAGCTGCAGCCGAGTGAACCCTTGCAGGGGTGTGTGATAACCCAGCGCCGATTGGATGGCAAGTTGATGAAGAAACGCTGGCCCGGCTTTTCGGGAGGTGTCTTGATCAGATGCTCGACTGTGTGCTTCTGCTTGGCGGCGAGCGAGGGGGTAAGTGAGAAGGAGAAGGCCCTCTCAGAAGACACCGAAGTCCCACAGCCTTCTGAGAAGGTTTCTGAGCCTTCCCCGAAGACACCCAAAAAACTTCCGAGAAGGCGCGAGGGCTTCTGAGAAGTCCCGCCGCCTTCTGAGAAAGCCTTCTCCTTCTCACTTCCCCCCTCTCGCCGCCGATAAACGGTATTAACAGAAACTTTTGACGCTCCGCGCGGATTTCTTGGATCCGCGCTGGACCCCCCTCCCTGGCGCGCGGACCGCGCCAGGGGCGGCGCCAGAGGCGCCGCTGGGGGGCCTCAGCGCGGCTCCAAGAAATCCGCGCGGAGCGCCAAACATTTATGTTTATGCCGTTGCTATTCGACTTATGCCGTAGTCTCTCCTCCTCCTTATCCTCCTCCTCCTCCTCCTCCTCCTCCTCCTCCTCTTCCTCCTCCTCCCCCTCCTCCTCCTCCTCCTCCCCCTCCTCCTCCT